TGAAAGCACCCCCTTACCTCAGGACTGCTAACATTTCTGAACCCCCTTTCGCGGGCATTTCCTGCCTTGGAGACCCCCTATTTTTATAACCCCCTTTTTAATTTTCTCAGAAGACTAAAGAGAGAGAGAGAGAGAGAAAAACACCCCCTTTTTAAAGAAATCTCCGGTTGAAAAGTCAAAAATATACCCCCCCCCCCTTTTAAAAAAAAAATATATTCTCGGCCCGGACTTTGTCGCGCAAAAAGCACCCCTTTACAGGAGATTTTGGGAACATATGCATATACATGTACCCCAAAACAATATTTCAAAAGTCTTCAAAAAAAAAGATTAAAATCAGACCCAAGTATTACCAAATGAGCATAATTTATGGGCGGATATACGCCGGTTACCCCTCCACATTTTCCAGTCAAGTCATTGTTTTTAACACTAGCCTCTGTGTACCCGATGAAGATAAAGCTTAGATTGGAAGTGGGAGCGATCTTCGAAAAGTGCTGTGGCCCAAGAGCCTGCCGTTTTGGGACAATTTCCTGAGTATAAGGGAGATAAATGGAGAATAGTAATCAACCCCTTTTGGCCAAAAATAAAGTGTAACACAACCTTTCCCATTTCGAAGAAATACCGTTTCTTCTAAAAAAAAAAAAATCATATTTGTAATGATTGAGAAAACCTGAGAATCCATTCCAGCGCAAGATCTCAACTAAGTCCGAGTTTAAGAAATCGTTGGAAAGTTCATTTCATCTTAAGATGCCTGAACCGGAAATCTTATTTTAATTGGTACAGCTTTAAAGTAAGGGAATATAGGGAATAAAAAGGAAAGTCTGCAAAATGGGAGATAGATGGCGTTGTCGTAATTTCCGGGGAAATGCACGTTTTCTATCCCCTTAGAGATTTCAAAATGATAGTATTTTTAATGACGATGATTACATTTTATTACAATTTATTGAGCTTTCTCGTTATAGAAAACTCCGAGTTTTGCGGGTGCATGGATGAGGGAAGGCCGAAAGGGGATATATTTGGAAATATCTAAAACATTATATTTCCAGAAGTGAAAAGCAATGGACCTGGGGTTCTTCAACTGCAGCTATTTTATTGATCAATCAAACGTTCTTTTTTTTTCTTCAGATAGATCCCGTCGGGACAGAACAAGAAGGTGGAAAACAGGATCATCAGGGTATTTATGCTTCCGTATATAATGCATCATATCTTCAATTAGATTCGTATGAAATTGAAGACTTAAAGACAGGAAGGCAATTGGGGAGGAGAGATTAAAGGAATAAACTAGGAGCATAGAAAGTGAGAAGAGGCAAGACTGTGAATGATATTTGGAACGAGAATTTTTCTATTAGACTTTTAATGGAAATTATATATTTCGGGTAACCAGTCTAGTTTTGAGATGTTATGTTTCTAATGAAGGAAATCAGCAAGATGATTTCGTCGATATATTTTTCTGAGTGATAAACATAACCTTTTTTCGATTGAATTATTTGAACATTCGCATAGGCGCATACCTTGAATTCAAACAAAAAGACTTCCCATTGGCCATTAGCCTTCTTTGCGATTGATCCTATAGCGAAATAGTTAGTCTTTCATTTCCAGAATTCCGCTGAAAACAAATCGTGTAACTTTAGAAAAACCGCGTACGGTCAGAAAGTAAACAAGTAGTGTCATTATTTTCTCGCATCAAATTTGACATTGACAGGCTGCTTGAATGAATTAGAAGAAAAACATGTTCATGAAATGTACTTATTTCTAAATATAGTTTCATCAAGGGGAAGGTTGTCTGTGTACAGAATCATGTGCAACAACAAGGATATCATTTTCTTTTTCTTTCTAAGAAATTACGGCTTCCACCAACAATTATTGTTATAAAAAAACAAGTCAGAATTTAATCTTGTAAAATGTAAATAACAAAATCGCGCACGCGATCTTTATTTCCTGGGTAGAAGTCCTAATTTCTGTGTAATTTGAAATTCTGAATCTACAGTAAAGTCGACAGAGTCTTTTCAAAAAGCTGTTAAAACTATGAAAATGTGTAACTTAAGTATTAATGACTCGTGTACGTACGGTTGGACGGACATACATACAAACAATCAGGCCAACATACATACATGACAGAAAGATAACTAGGCTAAAAGATCGAAATACAAATACACAGATTCAAGACAGAAAGATGAAAACGGTAAATTAAAGATGCCCATTATTATATTGCTAGACTTCGTTTTACTTCTTCTTCTGATTACACAATCAAGTTCATTAGCAGTATCAGACTTTGGCCTAAAACAAACGCGGATTGCACCGCCAGTCGTCTGACGGAACCTGTCATAAACGACAAACAGACTTAGAGAAACTGAAAGGCAGGCAAACCGAAGGAGAAAGAGGCAGACACAAACATGTTGACAAAAGACAGACAGACAAAACTACAAACAGGCAGCTAAACTGCAAAGAGACAGACAAAAAGACAAACAGGTAAACAGAAATGCAAACAGCTAGAAAGATTTGTATAGCCAGGCAGGTCGAAAGCAGGACAGACTCGAAACAGGCAAACAGAAAAAAGGTCGTAAGGATAGGATTGAAGAGTGTCTAAAATATAACGAGAGGTAGTTCAGAGAGAGCGAGAGAGAGTTACAAAGAGATTTCACAGGAACAAAAGGTTAATACTTCAAGGAATATATAAAACTGTTTCTAGGGGCACATGACCGGAAGGATTATGATCTTAATCATTGACTAAAATGGAATTATTATGTAGCCCATATTTTTTTTTATAGCGATCGCGTGTCGGAAATTACTTGAGGATAAGACCTTCAAGAGAAGAAGGGATTTTCCCCAGTAGCGAAATCTAATCAGTAGAGGTCTCTGTCGAGCTTTAAAGGGATTGGGTATCTTTGTCTTTAGATTCTGAAACAAAATCCTGGATTTAGCTCATGCTGCAAAGATAAGTATAAACGTTTAGGTTAGTCAGGAACCCTATGACTTTTATAAGCTGATCGCCTGTCTGATTACCAAGATTTGTATGATTGGAAATCGAAATTTCAAAACCGTTTTCCCAACTTTTTTTTAATAACACTACAATCTATTGGGGAAAATGATTATAGTAAAACCGGTCACTCAAAGATTTTTACTTTTTGAAGGCACTTCGTGATCATTTTGAAGCGCAATTTGTTTAGGGCTTCAATATTACACCAGTTCACAGACATCAACAACACAAAGGGCCATGCATCTCAGATTTGGCATTGTTAAACAATGCCTTTAAAGGAAACAAGAAGTACAAAATTATCTTTAAACCTGAGAAAAGTGTCCTTTTGAAAATGGCGGTGGTGAGGTTATACCTCAAATGAAGAGTTGACAAATGTATACAGATGCATCCAATTCTATCATCTTTTATTGCACTCATAGATAATAATACTCTCAATAAAATAAATTAAGATGTATAAAACAATAGTTACATTGAAAGATGTGATAAGGTACAGTCAAACCTGCTTTAGTGACCACCTGTCTACAAAGACCACCTGCCTACAAAGGCCAAATTTGTTGTTTCCCTTGAAAATGGTTTCTTATTGAATCATGTACTAAAGGAACCTGTCTACAAAGACCACCTGTCTACAAAGGCCACTTTTTGTGTTTCCCTTGGGTGGTCGCGATAGACAGGTTTGACTGTATATTGAAACAGTGATATCACTGAGAGATGTCCATCTTTGACTAAACTCATTAGAAGAGAAAGATAAGAATTTTTAATTTTTTTGTTTCTTTGGAAAAGCATAAAATCTAGCTTGTTAAGTGCAAAGAAACTCCATCAATTGAAACCAACAAACAAATTGTGAATGAGAAGTGCAGCAAACATCATACTAACAGCACATTTTCACTTATTATTAATAAATGTTTCAAATATAACATTCGTCGTGATCAAGGTTTCTTTTCATCTTTCGTCTCATGGTTAAAAAGAGCCCTCTTGAAAAGTAAGTTTCGAGTAAATGCATTTCCAAAAGTGAAACGAAACTTAAAGTAATCAAATAATATGTTATTAAGGCCTTGGATTGACTTAGGATTTGCGTTTGATCAAACATGTAATGCATGAGGCCCCTTTATTGTCATATTTAACAATTTGCATTTTACTTTCTTATAAATATTCAAGATTGTAATATTTTAAACAGTAATATAGAATAGGTTCTACCCATAATCTGATAGTATTTGGAAAATAATAGCATCCAGAAAGACTACAATAAGAAAGAAAGCTATTGACACCAACAAAGTAAAATTTCACAACAAAACTTGCAAAAAATAATAGAAATGACCACTTTTTGCTTAATGGCAAGGGGCGGTAAACTATTCTTCTTTTAAACAGTCACACTTTTAAGTTCCTAAAATGGTTGTTTAGTAATTAAAAGGAGACAAAAGATTTACTCAACATTAAAAAAGGGTCATGGATAGAGCTAGTTTTAAAAAAATGAAACAGTAATGGCAAAAATCATCAAATGTCTTGTACATCTCTTTAGGCAGAATCTCTTACTTTCGCTTTAATTTGTTAAAACGTTTTTTGTTTATGAGTTGAATAGAAGCTTAAATGTAGTAGTTTAAATTTGTAACTGCAATCAAATAAATAACAAACAAGTAACATTACTCATTATGGTTTTTGATATGCAACAGCTTATATATCAATTAGAAGAAATTAAATAATATCAGTTATAGTCATATGTGAGGTAGAAGACTCCATTTGATGTGAACGGTCACAGACATTAGAGATGAAGTTGAGTTCTGGTCATGCGATTGCATTGTGAAAGAAAAGGTTGATCATCTAGCATATAAGAATTTGTGTGTATTGCAAGGTTCTGGAATCATCAAAATGATAAGAAATTTGGCCAAGTCTTGGTAAAGATGTATATGGGACTACACAAACAGTTGGCGTAAAAATCCTACCCTGGATTTTTACGATTTTTTTACGATGTTACATGACATACTGAAGAGCCATGCTTTTCAGGAAACATGTCTTATCTGATGTTCTTCCACACTTGCATAATAAGAATGATAACGCTCACAAATTATTTTTCACCTCTTCCCAGAACTCAACCTTCTCTTTAAATGGGTAAGTAGGAAGTAAAAGGCATTGAGTGACAAATTTGTAGGCCAAAAGGCACATCATACCTAGATATATACCGGTAGATTTTATACTTTTAACTGTATATCACATGAAAGATGAAAAGTCAATAAAAACAAAACGGGAACAAAAGATTAGTTCCGAGTTTCAAAACAACAACAACAACAAGAAAATACCAACAAAAAATATCAATTTTTACTTTTGTGAACCATGCAACCTGAAACTTTATGATTAAGCTGATTAGTAAAGCAAATAGAACATCAAAATGATGTTTACGTCCAATATAAAGTGAACCTCATAATTACACAATTTGCATTAAAGCGACCTTCTTGAAGTTTGTAATAGATAACGATGAAAGTGCAACATAAAGACCTGACCAATATCTGAATCCCTGCTATATTTTGATAATGCTATCTACTTTAACTCATGTTGTCATAACAAGAATAACATGTCCAATATCATCTGCTGATAGACAGAAGTTCCCCCAAACCAAGAAAAATCACCTTCAACTTGTTTCTCAACCCTTATCAAGGAAAGACACTTTTTCCTGTTTCTGGAATGTACAATAAATATCAGCTGAGAAATAAGTTCAATTTCAGTACAAATAATTTGTATAGAAATTCCTACAAATATATAATAATAAAAAGTCTTTGATAACATGAAGAATTTTACATAAATATACATCATAAATACTCTTTGAAACAGAGTTCTCTCGATTTGACAAAAATTGTATATATTCTTATCAATTTATTCAACTAAATGAAAGTTTCTCTGACAGGAAAATGCATTGAAAGAAAGAAAAAATATCAGTACATCATTTTTCATCAGCTTATATGTCTCATTCTCAAACAGGTCAATATATATAATATATGCCCAAAGGCAATAAAATCTTTATCCTGCATTCAAATTGTGTGAAAGACATGTTGATGCTAGTTTACAGCTGCATCAGTTGAGTAAGGGATATCTAAAACTCAGGGAATAAGTATCTGCTACTTAATCTAGATTGGTAGAGTTTAAGGGGGAATGCGTTAGTTTGCAGAGGGTAATTATTAAATTTAATCATTAAACTTTCTTAACGTTTTTATGAGGAAAACAAGAAACATATAAGGACAACAAAACAGCATAGGTTGCAACAAAATTTAAAAGGTAATGAATTTGGAATATAAACTAATTCAAAAATTCAATCATCAAACTAATTTAACAAACCTCATAAACAGTTTCCTGGCTAATTTGGCAAAATCTACACAACGCTGTTTATGAGTGGCAGATCTTTCTATTTCACAAGAACAGGCAAGGTAAGATCAAATTACCTTTGATATAGCACCAGAAATGAGATGTCATAATTTTGGCCAAATAATCACAAAGAGTTTACAAAATTAATCTGCTTTACATAAAGCAATGAACGAAGGAAATGTTTTGCCATTCTGCAAATCTATGACTTAGAAGGGATATTTGTTCCTGTTTAACTAATGATTTTAGTCTTTCTTTATTTTGCAGAAATGACTATTGTATTCCCTTTTGCAAATCCATGTCATAAAATGCAAGTAACAAGTAGGTCATCTTGCGTAGTCCAATATGATTCAGCTGATCTATCACACTTATCTATCACACAGAAATAGAAAAAACCCTGAAAACTTTAGATTCAAAGAACAAAATATGTCTATTCTTAGTAACTTGACCTGTAGGGAAAAGGCATTTCTATCATTCATATTCCCTAGATGAATTGCAATTCTGCTATAACCATGAGGTGATCAGATGGATTGAACTCTTCCGGAAGCGAGCTTTCCAGAAGTCGCAACGGTTCCTCAAACCAGGACTGCGACAACACCACCAGAGAGAACATCCCCATAAGGCTGATGGAGAGATTGACCAGAGCCAGGTTACGACACGAACTCAGGACGGTGCGTACCCACGACGCAAGATGGAGGTGACGTACGTGTCTCCACGACGGTGGGGCAACGGAGAGGGGTAGCTGGCAGAAGCGTGCCAGGGATTTGTGTCTGTGAACGGAACCACCTTGGGTGACGGCGAGTACAGTCTGGATCAAACCAACAAAGAGTTGCAAGGTGAAAGCTCCAAAAACGATTCTGACGATGCAGTAGAGTCTGTAAAGGTCTGCGCTGCACGCTTCGCAGTCTGGTACCGAACAGGAGTGACCGTCTCCACCCCTGACACACACGCCACATTGGCACGATCCGCTCGGACCACAGTCGTGCAAGCAATCCCCTCCTGATTCTCTATAGTACGTCCTTCTGCCTGCCTCTATTATGGCTTTCCTTCTTGCAGAGGTGATATATCTTTGATACTTTTTAGCATAAATGTTGCCGTAGCCGTCGAGCTCTGCAGAGCTGACCTTAAAGTAGCGATTGCTGGCAAGGATTCTGTCCGGCCTGCTCACAAAGCCTGGGGACGGCTGTCAAAGGAATAAAGATAAGACAGTATTTAGTTACAAAACATGTTTTTGGTGTTAAAAAATATAAATTACAGTGTCAATGAAGAGCTCATTTGAAACAGTCCAATCTGAAGACCATAGTTTTGATTAGTTATTTATTCAAAAATTATTTATCGTATATTACAGATAATTTTTTTTCAGTATACAAAGCACCAAAAAAAAGATATACATTTAAATGCAAACATTGCACAGAAAATAAGGTCATTTTAATTAAAATCATTGTCAAGTGAAAATGTAAATATCATAATCATTAAAAAAAATACTATTTCCAAGATTAAATACCATCTTTCTCAATAAAATAATCGTTCCCCTTACATTTCCAATTGCCATCAGACTTGGATGACAAACAGGAAAATCAAAAAGAGACATAATTGAAGAACATTGTTAATCTACGATGGTAGCATGAGATATACTGCACCCAGAAGGGTTATTGATTGTGAAGACTGTCCCACCAGGGAGATTAAAAAATGGCATTACACATGCCCCCCTCTAAATCACAATCAACAAATATGCCATTCTTCATAAGAGCAGAGTATATGATTCTTGTCACATCCAATATTGAAATACATACTAAATATTTTCTCTAAAAAGAAAGACAGAGAGCCTAATAATTTTCAGCTCGGATTAATGGCAATAAATAAAGTGATTTGCAATAACACTTTAAAAGGTTAATTTAGTAGAAATTTAGTTGAACCTGAATGCTACTTTTATGTACTTATAGCGATTGGAGTTATCTGAGAGTATATGCCCATTTACACAGCGCAACCACCATTTTGAAAAATGGTTGATTTTGGGGGACTGCCATTTACACTACGGAGAAAAACCATACAAAACTATCAGTGTTTGCTCTTTCTGACTTTTCGGTGAGTACCGTAGTGCACATGCGCAACATGTTGCTATACTCTGCATTCAATCGCACAGATCTCGAGTCACGTGACTAAAACCCGGAATCGTACCAAAGTTACAAGAGCGTGCATTTACACTGCAAAAAGTTTGTTAAAATTTCTGCCCGTGTTTACAAAAAAAAATCACCCGAAAGGTGGATTTTTTCCGCTTTGGGTTTTTTGTTGTTTGCTGGTAGTTGCTTAGCAATTTGTAACAAAACACTGGAATGTGATAACAGCGTCTCAATATTGACATTTGTGTATCATTTACTTTCTTTTTATTGGTAATAATCCTGTAACCCTCTCATTTAATCAAAATATTGTATTCTGAAAAAATAATCATTAGAATTTATTTCTTTCATCATCTTTATAAGAAAAAGAATAATGAGATAATATCAAAAACTGAAAGGACAGATGCATCTTATTCATCTCATACTATTGCTGAAAAGGACATGTTTCAATGATAAAGCCATTGAACTCAATTTCTATATTTTTAGGTCAACAGTTCATAATTCCTCTTAAAATAGACAAATAACTAATCCCCATCCATTTGAAATATTTCAATCTACCATCTTCCCTTTACAAAATAAATCTTACTTCAGGAAAAAAAGTTAAGAAACAGAGACAAATGGATAACGAGCAGAAAAGTTTTACGAATGGGTGTAATCAAAATTCTAGACAACAGAATTTGGGGCATCTATGCAATGATTCACCGAGGGGGTTCAGAGAGCAGCAGGGAGACATGGCTAAAGTTAGAATACCGCTAATCTGCCAAAATGGATTTTAAATACCAGACAATGCTGGGATTGACTCAGAAGGGATGACCAGCAAGGAAATCTTGGTCTTTTCTAGCGTGAATAATGACCAGATCCTGCTCTCCGAGGATGATCGAATTTAGAGCCAGACTAATTGGCTAGGGGTTTATTCCTCTTTTTGGAGTGTGGGTAAAATGAGAAAGGTTAAGAGGAAAGAGATACATTGAAAAAAACAGAATAGAATGGAGAGAGATTAAGGGAGAGATAGAAACAGAGAGTAAAAGAGAGAGAGAGAGAGAGATAGAGAGAGGCAGAGAGAGAACACAGCGAGTGATGGCAAGAAAGCGTGAGAGAGAGAGAGAGAGAGAGAGAGAGAGAGAGAGAGAGGGGGGAGGGGAGGGGGAGGGGGGGGGGGGGGGGGGGGGGGGGGGTTAAAAGAAGATCAGAGAGATACTTTAAATATTGGACTCACAGAAAAATTTGCTTGAACCGGACCTGGAAACCTTTTTGTCTCTCATTTCTATGCAATTTCTTTCTAGATGGCTGAACCTATAATACTAAACACTACATCTATAAGAAAAATATATAATCACATTCCTTTTTTACAATCACTGATTGCAATCATTGTTTTACATAAATTTGTTAATCAGTGATCTACAATAATTTATTTGATTCATCTGAATTAAATCACTGGTTTAATCGACAGAATCTTCCTATTCAGGCAATTTCAAATCATCTACCACTTCTGTACCACAGTCATTAAATTGGAACAGCTGCTAAAAGAAATATCAAAGCTTACTACTGGAAGATGTTTAAATCAGTGATCTGAGTAGATTTATTCAATGGATTTCATTCAATCCACTTATTCGAATAACTATTGATCCTTTTATGATGAAGGTCAACCTATAACATGGTAAATCCAGCAGAATTCTCGTGAAAGTAGTATCACTAGCCCTCACCATGTTACTGAAAGTGAAACCATTTTCTCCGTAGTGCATGACCTTCCAAGCATCGTCGTAGGCTGTGAGTTCCGACTCGACGGTCGGGTTCTTGGATTTGGCATACTTGGGGCACTTATTCTGTGAGGAGAAGTAGCCCAGATGTAGCCCCTCCAGGGGACCCTCGTAATCATTGTAGGTGTTAAAGTCGCCGAGGAGGATGGAGTAGTTGGGCTTCGCATCTGTGAGGGGTGATGAATAAAAAGAATAGTTGGACAGAAGTTCAAGGTAGAGGCCTCATTTCCTACGAATGCACATGGGGAATTATCTTGAAGTTGTGGATTGAACTGTCAAATGTAACAATACTTTGAGCTGTAGTTCTACTTCTCATTATATTATCCCTGTTTTTATCATTACTGTTCTAAATTTACCACAACCTTATGTGTGATTTGTAAATAAGTCAGAAACTGGACTTCATCAAAACAAAATCTAAGGTCACCTAATATTGATTTCATCAAATATTCTGCTAGTTTGCTGTGTTTTTTGTTTATCAATCTCATAATTATTATATTACCATCATCATCATCCTTGATTCATCATCACCTACATCATCATCATTATCATCATGATCATCACCATTACAATAGCTATAATAAATAATCATCAATATTATTATTATTATTTATAATATCAACATGAGTGACATTGCATATATACAGAGCATAAAAGAAAAAGTTCAAACTTTGAAAATATCCCCAAAATTATTTTTTTTCACGATATCTGCATTATTATTTGATCAGCATGCAGAAAGAATCAATCTTGTATACAACGGCATTAAGAGATTCTTGATTTCTTGATTTCTTATATTCTTGTATGTATTTATAATTTGTAAACTGAATTGTATGAGTCTCCGGACTTTTTATTCAGCATGTTTTTAGTTTTCAATAAACCAGAATTGAATTATTGTTTTCATTGGATTGACAATATTTATGCTCAATTGAGCACTGGCTGATTTTGGAAAATTCGCAGTGTATACATTTTTGATCAATTCTAACAAAAATTTCTCAGAACAATAAATGAAATAAACCCGCAGGGGTGCAGTGTGCATTTTTTATCAAGACTAACAACAATTTCTTAGAACAATAAATGAAATAAACCCCCAGGGCTTTTGATCGCAAAGAAGTATTCCTCTGTCTGGTAGATCCATTAAAAAGCACATCAGATATGGATAGACAATTTACACTGGTAAATTGTGTGAGAAGGAAAAATTTGATAAAGGTATCAAGCTATTTGATGTCCACAAATGGGGTGGATTCACACTGCCCATTAAACTACTCAACAGTGCTTCTTTTTTCAACCCTTAGAACGCTATGCCCAAGATATCTAGGGCTAGAGGCAATGGAAGATGGTGTTATATTCTCCTAAAAGACGAGAAGTGTTCACACTCTCAAATTTACGGCACGTTCTGCATCTCATGATTTGAAAGCAGGCAAGGAGGAGAGGCATCACGCCTGATTAACCGTACACGTGACTTATCTTTAGAGCGGTGCGAACTCACCGTCTTGAATCTTGATTTCCCAGTGCCATTTCCAGCGAGATTTGGCAGATGTAACCTTGAACCAAAGCTTGCTTTTACTTCATTGATACCAATGAAGCGTAAAAGCCAGCTGCTCTTTGGATTGACATTAATGTTCAAGCATAAGTCGTCAGCCGAGAGCCATAAGGGCGTTAGCTTCCTCTCAAAGGATGATAGCCAACGCCCTTCTGGCTTTCAGCGCACAGAGCATCCTTTTATATCCCGTTTTTTATTTGTTCGCCTTCTCACCATTTGTCATCAATAAAATGTGGATACCACTTTTGGGGAAAAGGTGATGAACTCCTCGTGACCTTAATGACAAATGGATTCCCTGCCTCATCCCCTGCGTACTTATCTAATACGCATCTGGCTATTACCCCGCGTCCTTCAAAATGCTATTCACCTGGAGCAAGGGTCATATTCAGGGTTTCTGGCGTCAGTCAGTCTGCAAGGTACCCTGGGAAGGAAGTCTTCCCTTCTTGTTCATACCTGCTTTCATATCTTCTACCTGATTTTTCTTTTCTTTATCTTGTGTCTTTCAAGTCAGCCTGATTTTGCAAGTTTGGTGGTTAGTATTAAATTGATAGGAATTATATTACACACTCTTTTACCACAAAATGCTGGGTTTCTCAAGAGGTGTTGAAAAACAATTTGTTAGATTCGGTTTCAATGACAAGTTGTCTATGACAATTACAAAAAATGATTTGTTGACCACTTGACAAAATAACATTTAAAATGATAGAAACACCTTATACAGCTCCCTGACAATATAAGCCCATTGCTATCAAATATCAGTTTTCACTAATAAAAGCACTTAAGGCTACTTCAGCAATGGTAGATATGGGAAAGGTCAATGGTGCCACACCCATCTCCTTTACCCTTATGAAAAGAAAAGAAAAGGCTTCCTACAGGGAAATTCCCTTTCCTAGATTATCCATTGCTATCAATATCCCCTCCCTCTTCCTTCTTTCTTTCTTTCTTTCTTTCTTTCTTTCTTTCTTTCTTTCTTTCTTTCTTTCTTTCTTTCTTTCTTTCTTCCTTTCTTTCTCTTTCTTTCTCTCTCTCTCTCTCTCCCCTCTCTCTCTCTCTCTCTCTCTCTCTCTCTGATTTGATTTAAATTCATCCCAAATATCAATCATTGTCAGCTTTTACAAAGCAAATAGACCATTAAGAAACCATAATCTAGTGCAGGACAGACAGCACGATTTATATCACTGCTATGTTGATTTAGAGGGCAGCATTTTCTAGGGCATGATTTTAATGATTATGCATTATAGAGTGTAGTTTATTTTAAAAGATGCTGATTCATCATTCAATGTATAATAATAATAATTGAGAGAAGTTCTAATGATATGAGAATATATGCAATACAGAAAGGAAGAAAGTTGGAAACAAGTAATGACCAAAATCCATTGATGATACTCTGAATTTGTATCTTAGCTTCATGCTTTTCTCTCCATTTGTTTCCCACTAATACCTTTTTTATTCTCTCTCTCTCTCTCTCTCATTTGATTTAAATTCATCCCAAATATCAATCATTGTCAGCTTTTACAAAGCAAATAGACCATTAAGAAACCATAATCTAGTGCAGGACAGACATCATGATTTATCACACTGCTATCTTCATTCAGAGGGCAGCAATTTTCTAGGGCATGGTTTTAATGATAAAAGCCACATTTGAAAATGTTTTGCATATTCTTTTACCCTACATCTTACCTTATAGAGTATAGTTTACCTTTAAAAATTGCTGACTCATTATTCAATGTATAGTAAAATTTGAGAGAAGGAACTAACATTCTAATGATATGAGAATATATGAGAATATATGAAGTGCAGAAAGGAAGAAAGTCAGAAACAAGTTATAAATAAAATTCATTAATGAAACACTGTATTTGTATCTTAGCTTCATGCTTTTCTCTCCATTTTCTCCCTCTTATCCATGTTTCCTTCTTACTTTCTCTCTCTCTCTCTCTCTCTCTCTCCCTCTCTCTCAGTTCCTCTTTCTCTCTCTCTCCCTCTCTCAATTCCTCTTTTTCTCTATGTTTAACCCTCTCCTTTTTTCCCCCTCTCTACGCTTCTCTGACACACTCGTTGACTTACGAGTGGTACATCGTGGAATCCGTATTACTAATGGTGACTTCACATCTCATGAAGATCATGTATTGAACTTCATATCAAACAGATGATGAGCTACCTGTATCTCATCATTTATCTTGAAACACTCCTTGGGAAAAGTCAAACAATCAAATACCCTTTTCCTCTAAGCAATATTTTAATTGTGTTAAGAACTATTTCTACTTAAAGAGAAGGTCGAGTTCTGGGAAGAGGTGACAAATCATTTGTGAAAGTTATCATTGTTATTAGGCAAGTGTGGAAGTACATCAGATAAGAAATGTTCCCTGAAAACCATGCCTCTTCAATTGCCTTAATATTCTAAATATGGCATGTAACATCATAAACATCGGGAAAGATTTTTATGCCACATTTTGGTGTAGTCCTGTATACATCTTTATGTGTACAGTGCTGCTAACTTTACCAAGACTGGGCCAAATTTCTTATCATTTTGACGATTCCAGAACCTTGCAGTACACACCAATACTTATATGCTAGATGATTAACCTTTTCTGATCGATTCCACACCGTTTCTTTCACAATGCAATCGCATGACCAGAACTCAACTTCAACTTTACCACAACTCTCCTTTCATTAAAAGGGTACATTTCTGGTGATAGACTGTCTACCGTTGAATGGGATTGGAATCTAGATCACCATACATTTAGTATCATGCTGCTTTTAATAATGACAACTCAATTAAAAGAGCAACAAGTTCAGGTCAGATTTGCCAAACTGATGCACTCTGTCCTGGTGGTTTAAATCGAGATATCGACTGCCCATCGACTCATTTAACCTCTTGCCACCCAGACGATGTACCAGTAGACCACCAAAAGATGGCCTCGGGTATCAAAATGGGTCGGATATCAATTGCGAGAGCAGCGAAGCTCTTAACTATCAAACATGGAAATGAAAGATCACCAAGACGTCGCCAGCCATAGCCCGTCTGCACATGCTACACTTTCAACTCCGTGGCCAATCACGGCCCTGATTGGTTGTGAAGGCTTGTCACAATATAGGTCTAGAGGAGGTGAAAAAGAAATTCCAGTGTTGCGTCTTGGATTACTGTTCCTTTCCCAGTGGGTTTCCCAGCAGGAGTGCTGATTGCGCTGTGAGAGAACACATGCAATTGGATGCTCCCTAAAGGTGATGGTCAATTAGGCTAGATTGAAAGTGAGCACAAGTATCTTGTTCTTATCGTTGGAACTTGGATTTGTCCTTATTTTGTATGCAGACGACTTTTGTAAATTTGCATAGAGGTGCCACTGACAAGAATGCGAACAAAAAAGTTATTTCCTTGATTTTACTTTTTTGCCGTATAAAATGTACCGGTATTCCAATGAGTAGACACGTTTTTTAAATAGATGTTAAATTCATTTTTGTTTTAATTCTGAGGGTTTTTGTTATCAAACCAGGAGTGGAGGGATAGTTCAATTAGAGTAGTCCTGATAGGTACAGCTGTAAACGCACATGGGTATCTGCCTGACCTAGCAGTGTATGTAGCATGCACACAGTGCATTGCGTCACGGCTTGGTGATGTTATACGTGTAGGGC